TGAGACTACCAGTAAATCATGTGTGCTAAACAGTTATGGTATCTCCCCTTCCGCCCTGCCTATTCATATCTCATATTAAATGCTAGCTGGTGCAAATTGTTGTCTTTTACTAAACCTAATTTCACAATATTTAAACTATCATTTATCGTGGCCTGTCTGTATACACAAAGTCTAAGAATGAGCTAGTGAATTTTTTTGACTTGTTGTAGGAATGATGATGTCCATCATATGACAGTAAAAGCTTAGTCCACTTACATCGGACTCGAAGAAGAAAGCACTGGGCTCGTCTTTCGATGCTATTTAACCTTGAGTCTCTTCATCACACACTTTCGCTCAAAAACAGAGTGAGCTCTACCAAACATTTGTGTTTTGCGGTAACCAGTCTTCGAAATTTCCCGATAATTTCACATACCAGGGCCGTAGGCCCACCCCACTCTCCGAAGACATCGCAACGTTGTTTACATAAATTCACCAACTGTTGTCCTGTGTGTGTGTGAGAGAGAGAGAGAGAGAGAGAGATAAAAGGACTCAATTAAGGCATAAAGATAGTGTTGCTCGGCCAAGAAGTGGTATCGACTAACGAAGCTCCTCATTACCTTCGTCCAGATTACGTGAAAACGGTGGGGAACTTGTCTTGTTCTAGAACCTTTTTTATGCTACATTCCGTAGGACTGCCAATCGGAATGCTGCCAATTATGGGGCTGGGCAGAGGCGAAAGGTCGCAGGGAGCAGATGAGGAGGGAAGAGGAAATGATCGGCTCTGCTGTGGCCTCACGACCGTCGCGACCTGTCCGAAAGCACGAATCGGTATGGCGCACGACGGTTTTCCGCGACCTGGCTGTGGCTTCGGGCCGATCACATGCTCGTGGGGAGGACGCAAAAGAGGTCTGTGGCCAATTGTGACCGATTTTGCCACGTGTCACTCATCACGAGGCTGAAATGTCAAGCCCCAACGTCGGTCGACGGATCGGGACGCAAGCGCTGTCTCTACGGTTTGACGCGAGCTTGCACTTTCAGGTCAGCCTCAAGCCAGGCCAGTAGAAACCACTTGCTGATGACCTTTCCGGGCTTTCAGCGATTATCGCACCAAATAGCTCTCCAATCTTCCGGTTTACAGCCGCACCAAACCGAAGCGCACACGAGGCTGTGTGGGCAAACACATTTTTCCCAAAAATGTGCAGTGAGCACTGAGACTTGTCGAATCCCTGAAAGATGTCGCTCCTGCGACGTTTTTGGTTTTTTCGTTCGACCCGGTGCTGGCGTTGGAACAAGCAAAAATACACGCTTTTCCAGTATCCTTTACTCTTTCTAACAACACACGCCAGTCTTGTCGCCTTGACAACTTGGCTGTATCTCAACATTTTAACACAAAGTCCACTTGGGAATTTGATGAAAGGCTGGGGTTCGAAGAATCCATTACAAAATTGAGGCTGGAGTACCGATCATTTCGTTCGAAGAGGCGACTGGCTGGAAGAACTCATCTGACTTTGAAGGAGGAGGAGTGCTAGTTTTGTGTGAAAAGAATCTCGGCTCTCCGTTCCGCCAAGCCGGTGCGGCCGTGCGTAGCTTGCCCCTCGCATTTCACGGGCAGGGTCAGAGCCAAAAACACATTCTCAAAAGCTTCACCAAACGCACATGAAACAGTAAACTATAAAATGTCGCATCAAGATTGCAAAGTTGGCTATTACAAATGAGTGGGATTTCAGCTGGCCACCATTCTTGGTTGAGTATATTTGGGGAATCCTTGCTAAATGATGCTTTAAGAAGAAAAGCTGGGTTTAGACAAATCTCTGGTAGAGCTGACGCTTCATTTGAATTGCCCAAAATATTTCCCTCCAAAAACGTGTTCTCATCCAGGCTTAAGTGGACTACAGTTTCGACCTTGCCTACATCTTGTCAGCACATTCATCAAGACTCGAGCCATGGCAGTGCTTCTCGTAGTTATCTCCATTTATAAGTGGGATAGTCACGAAAGCCTACTTATAAATCAAAAATAAGTAGTGCAGTCGATTGTTATAGCAAATCTAACGTTGCCTCTACAAAAATCCCGCCAAGGAATGTAATATGAGAAATTGACTGTGCTCCCTTGAATTTCCCATCTGTCCTGTGAACCAAGGAAACTCGTGGCAATGTGGCGGAGTGACTATTTTGTCGATATTACAAGCAGAAGTGTCATGGTTCGAGTCCCGCTAAGGGTGTTGATAAGACCAGTTGATGCGAGGTTGAAATTGCAGTCCACTCCGGCTGGGATGAGAACACCTTTTGAAAGAGCAAGGCTCTGCGAAATTGAAGGGAAGCGTCAGCTCTGCTCATATGTTTGTGTGAAATTTCAACTACCAGTTTCTGTATCACTTTAAACGAAATAGGGTGAACATGTTTCATATTTGGGCTAAGCTTTTACAAAGTAAAGTTGGGCTTCGAGAAATCTCTTGTTTCATAATTGTTGTATTCACTTCCATGTCGAGATTCGAAGGTCGGTTCCACCAGAAAACGACGGCGTATTCCTCTTGACCAGCTGTCGATTGGCTTTACTGGAACATTCAAGCTGACGTTGTTTCCAAGGCAATCTCGTTCGATTCCGGTAAAAAGTTGTTAAGCTTTCGTGCGTCATATCAGAGCAATGTATTATCGTCACAATTAAATTCAAGCTAACGAGTCAAGAGAACTCGTAACTAACCAAATCGCTTTATACCCGAACAAAGAGGTCAGATATAGAGTATATATACCACTTTTTAGGGATTTGCCGGTGAGTTTTCTTGACTCGTTACAATTTTGCTGTGACGATGTTATCTTGCTCTGATGATGTTCTTCACATGACGGACAAAAGCCTGACACCTTTTCACCCAAATCGAAGGAGATCACCTCGGAAACCGAGTCAGCATGAATATTGCAATAAAGCCAATCGACCGCTGGTCAAGAGAAATCCGTCTTCATCTCTGTTTGAACGACCGACCTTGAAATCTCTTCCCTAAACATTTTCACTCGACATGGAAGTAAGTAAAACAATTATGAAACAAGAGATTTCTCGAAGCCCAACTTTACTTTGTAAAAGCTTAGCCCAAATATGAAACATGTTCACCCTATTTC